AAGGTCGAGAAAATCTCCCCATATCTAAATAAACCGTATCAAGCTTAACTGGAACACTAGTTAGAATTCTTCTCCGCGCTTATACTTTTGTTCTTTCGGTTAGCCTACTAATGCAATTGGAAATCAACTCATTGACAAATTTCTGATATGAACGTTATTTTATTTCATAGTTTGAACTAAATATAATACCAGTTTTAACATTTTTACATTATTGATTATTTTTAATATTTCTAAACATTAAATGTTATTAACCTACGGCTATTACTAACTATCTTACGGCGACTTATTAAAATATCCCTATACGGAGTCATTTCATTATAATTATAATCCCGCTTTGTTTAGCTCAAATGATCTCCGCCCAAATTTTCATTTTAAGCGTGTTAAACATTAAGCCAGACACTTTAAAATTATTACGTGTGTTTCCCGACCAGATGCTACCACCTTCTTTTTGATTTATTTTTCAGTTCATCAATACCCGGATGATTCTTATTCTTCTTGTTAACCTCCGGCGCGCGACAATCTCGCAAAAATTGCTATCGAAACAACGTCACGTTGATTCTGGTGGGAGAGTAGTGTAGTGGCGTTGGGCCCTACCAAGAGACAATATGAGAAATAGACATTAAACATTTAACGCGGAGGAATACAGAAGAATGGAGAAGGCGGGGAGAATAAAATTGAATTAGTCCGAGTTGATCGGATGGCATGGCTCGGCCGTGCAGGCGTGGTCCCTGCTGAATGTTATCTTATATCTTTTATTCATATTCAATATATTGTCCCATATCTAGCCTAAGCTTGTTCTCCATCATGTATTGGTAATTGTTACGATGCGATGAGGTGGTGTGGATAATAATGTGACTTCCACGTGATATCTTATAGGTTAGGCAGTTGCATCATGACAAATCTACAATTTTAGGATTAGGTCTATTATTAGAGCAGTGCTAATATCATAGTAGACCGTAATTCTACAAATTCTCCACCTATACTAGCTTTCCCCGATACTTCAGCAGATGCAGGCGAGTTCATACTAAACACGGATGCTAGTTCCTCGGCTATTGGGGCAGTTCTATCACAAGTGACTCGAGATGGACACGAAAAAGTAATTGCGTATACTAGTCGGCGACTAGATAAGAGAGAGACACGGTATTCTACAACGCGCCGAGAGATGCTGGCTTTGGTAAAATTTTTGCAACATTTTCGTCACTATCTCCTAGGACGACACTTTCGTGTTCGCACAGACCACCGTGCACTACAGTGGCTTCGTTCGTTCCGTGAACCAGAAGGTCAGGTAGCGCGTTGGCAGGAACGGTTACAAGAGTTTGATTTTACATGTGAGTATCGACCGGGAAATCGACATGCAAATGCGGATGCTCTCTCTCAAATTCCCCAAACTACAGACATCGTTAACGTAATTCTTAGTACAGCTCCAGAAACTGACTGGCCCTCCCTACAAGCAGCAGATCCAGACCTGTAGATCATTTACCGGAGACAGCTGAACTGGAACAATAAGCCATCCTGGAAGGAGTTAAAAGATCAACCCTTAACAACGCGTCGTATTTGCACCAAATGGAGTAACCTAAAACTATGTGGGGAGACGTTATTCCTAATTAATGAATCGAAACAACCCTTACTGATAGTACCGCGAGTAAAAGTCGAAAGCACTGTGGAACATGTACATCGCGAACTCGGTCATGCGGGAGAACGAAGGACTGAACACGCTGTCCGTCAACGTTTCTGGTGGCTGTCTATACATGAAGATGTAGTGCAATCTTGCAAGAATTGCAACACGTGTTGCCGTTTTAAATCGCCTCAGAAGACACATCGTGCACCAATGACGCCAATGGTGACAACTGGACTACATCAGCGAGTCGGCATAGATATCATGGGACCATTGACAACGACAAAGAATGGGAATCACTACATACTGGTTATGGTGGATTATTTCACTAAATGGTGCGAAGCAGTACCCATTCCACAGCAAGACGCCCTTACGGTTGCTCGAGCTTTTATTGATCACTGGGTTTCTCGTTATGGTGCACCAGTCTCACTCCATTCTGATCAAGGTCCAGCCTTTGAAAGTCATCTCATCGCTGAGATATGCCGGCTATTAGGAATCAGAAAGACGCACACCACTGCGTACCACCCAGAGGGTAACGGTCTCGTGGAAAGAACGAAAAGAACTATTAAAGCCATCTTACAGTCGTTTGCCAGCAGGTTGTCGCCTGAGTTATGGGATGAGGTACTTCCCCAATGCCTTTTAGCATATCGTACGTCGGTACACGGTTCCACGGGATTTTCACCCGCTATTTTACTTTTGGGCACGAATTACGCTTACCAGTGGAGATACAGTCACCCCTGCTACCCTACGAAGAACAAGAGCATATACATACATACGTACTCTCCGCAACCGCTTAGCTGATGCATACCGTCTGGTTAATAATAACTTGCGCAAAGCTTGTGCACACCAAAAAGATATATACGATCGTCAGGTGCAGGGACCAAGGTATACAGTCGGAGATCGCGTCTGGCTACGCCGTCCAATGACTTCGTTAGGGGGTTGCAGTAAATTCCATCAGCCCTGGCAAGGCCCTTTTGAAATTGTCCTCATCCGATCCCCCACTACGTTTGTACTACGCAACATACAACGGCCTAACGACGACGTGATAACAGTGCACTACAACCAGCTAAAACCGGATCGGACGACGTTTTCCTCCGATGTTCATTTGGTCGACCCACCGCCGGCCACGAGATTTTATGGGGTTCCACCTGAAGGAGGGTCAGCATATCCATGGCCAAGACAAGGCGCTGAGGACAGCGCCTCATTAAGGGAGGGGGCGATGTAACAGCATTAAAATCATCATGTATGTGGTGTTAATAGATTCTATTTTCTTTCTATTGCAGGACGACCAAGAATAAATGCTTTAGAAGAAAAAGAGCATGCTCTACATGCACTGAGGCTAAAGGACGACTCATAAGACTATTTGTAAACTAACGCCCCCTCTTCTGTACACTCCCGCGAATTTTAATTTTGAAATAGTAAATCACTGGTGGTTCCATTCCGTGTTTTCCCTGTGTTGTGAAGTGCTCAGTTAACCTTATGTGTTTGTGGTTTAGATCTTTCAGTTCGCTCCATTGACTGCTGAATACACGAGTTACATCAGTAACCCCACTTGTAACCTGGCACAATCTCGGTATTCTTTCGATACCACGAGATTGACAACAAATATATCTCGACTACGGCCATCAACTACCTTCTGATATTTGGCCTACGGGGGATCTTATCGGTTAACTGGCACGTAGTCTTCTTGTAGTGGTGATCACAGTCAAACGCGACCCGACGCCACACTCCAATATAATCTCAAAGTTTTGCAATCTAAATTTACGAACTGTTTTATCCATTGAATAGAGCACACTGTAACTTAAGAAGGGTTAACGATTCATTAGCAAACAAAACACCCAATATTACCTGGTGGGCGTGTAAAGGTAGCGAAATAAATGATGTCGCAGCCTAACTGAAGGAGTAACTATTACTTCATCCTCCCGAACGAAGTCACTTTTACTTTCAGTAAACTCTTCATAGATCATAACTATAAGCCTGGAATTTTAGCATGAAAATGTGACACTTCCTGATAGATATCAATGTTAGACAAGGAAATATAAGAATAGTTTAACCACATGGTCTACAGAGAGTTAGTGAACAGCTTGGTAGCCATTAAACCTACCTTGAGCTTTTCTTTATCACTTCCGAGGTTCATTTAGGCAAGAAACGCTCTGAAAGCAACCTGCCACAGCTTGGTTTACCAACAGACTGAACCTATTTATCGTTGATAAATCATGTTATAAATGGAAATAAACGCCTCAGTATTATATTTGTATAGAGACCAGATATAACCTCATTAACATTGGACTGTTTATTCTGTAATCGGTCTGTGAATATATCGAAACAAACTCTTCTCAGATTACACAAGAGACTATGTTCTCTGTCTATTCACCAAAGCTGCAGACTAATTTCATCGTGAAACTAGTGGTGAGGTCTACAGTGATTCAAAAAGTTTATAACTGGGCACACGGGGTTCTAGTAAGATGAACGCACGTTTCAAATTAATCGGGTTATCTACTTCAAGCTGATCACTGCACAAACATTTCTTGATCATGTGGAAGCCATCAAGTTTCTGCATTTATCATTCAGAATCTTTAAGAACACTCTCGGCGATTGAACCTTGTACATCGCAACAGGGAATATTTTTCCCGTGACAACTCAAGTTTGTAAAGAGTAACTCAGTACTCATAAACCGGCAAAAATAAACTGAAGATATGTGACGAGTTAAACAATACACATATATACCTCATATAAGAACAGTCAAGGCCGGTAAGCGAGTAATTGACAAGACCGAAATGTGATTTGAGAAGAACAAATAAATCGGCCTGTCAAGAATCTGGAATAACTCACGTGAGTTTGACATAGTAATAGACACTCACAATGAGCAACAGAATATATCAGGTGGTTATAGAAATACAAGACTGATCCACTGACTCATGCTCCTGTTGACAGAATGCTATTGATTTTTACGAGTTGGTTGTCCTTCACTTTGACGAAGATTGGTGATCTCTTTGAGGTTCATTAAATTAGCTGCCAGGTGATTTTTTTAGGGCTTTCTGAAATCTCACTGGCTTTACAAACTATTTTGTCTGACTTACTATTTGATACTAACACGTTCTACGTTTTCGCCTATAAATAACCTCTTGATGCCGACAATATAAAAATTTTCAGAGATCCATCGTGCAACGAAACCTATATATCTCTATGACAACTTGAAGTTTTTGCATGGATATTATCGGAAATACGACAAAATTCAGGACAAAATAATTGCGATCATTCAGATTAAAAAATAAAATCAAGAGAAATCTAGTAGCGAGAAGGGATTCGAATACAGAACGCTTGTCCATGCTGTATTTAACAAAACATATAACGATACTTTTGTTTTACTGTCTCGACAAAAGTGACCTGTCATTAGTGATTATTCAAACGTTGCAATGCTTCTGTTGAGTGTATATTCTCTTCTATTTCGATCCGGAGGTGTATTCTTGTCTTACCTTGTGTATGGCATTTACCAAGAAAAAATGTAAGCTAGTTGAGTTTCTCGTATTTAATAATTTTTGTTAGCACAAAAACCAAGTATGGTCCTGGAATGGAGTTATTTGATTTTTATTTCTCTCTCTTACTTTTCCAATGCATAATAAATTTCATATTCTCACGAATAGGTAAATTTACGCTTAACATGCTTCGATGATATCATTAGCCCTCCGGTTGTGTCCAGAACCATCAGTTTCTTCGTTGCAGCATAAGTTTAGCATTTGTGGCTTTAGTTATATTACCGCAATGTACACAAGTAACACAAGTCTTAAGTATGTCACTTATCCTACCCAGGTTTGTAATCGTGTTGTTAAAACGTTTGTGTAGGTGATAGGGAAATCCATCAAACCAATACCTGTAATGCTGCTGAGTGTTTTGCTTGCTAAGCGGCGTTATCCTTTGCAGAAATACATTTTTGTGACAATGATTTCGTTCGGTGTAGCATTCTTCATGTTCAGGGGGTATTCAACAGGAAATTCTGCAAGCAACTTCGGCTTTGGAGAGTGTCTCTTGGTATACTACTCTATTTCTACTTGTTAATTTGATATTTTTAAGATATCTTCGTTACTTCTCGATGGTGTTACTGGCGGAGTCCAAGAAGACCTTAGAAAACATAATGTCGGTTCCTACACTTTAATGATGCACATGAACCTTTGGTCTATCATATACTTAGTGCCAGGTATATAGAATGCTGATTCCCTTTATATATATATATATATATATATATATATATATATATATATATATATATATATATAGCACTTTCGACATTTTCAGAGTACCATCATGTGTCATGCTTTATCAGCAAGCTTTTGCTTTGCTTTTAAACAAGTATTTTTAAAAAGTTCACATACCATCCAAAATACCTTTTTTCGTCTCATTTGTTCACAGTTATGCATATCATCAGCACTCAGTTCTAAATGCACTTTTGATTTGATGGCATCAGGTGATTGATAATTCGACTTGTGCATATATATTTCAAAGCCCGATGGTCGATTACAACGTGGAAGCTTGTTAAATTTAAGGATAGGATTTGTATGTAATGTAGTGGCACTAATCTTTGATGTTGCTAATGAGACATTTACATGCGAGAGTGGTTAAGTCACCAGTATTATTTGATTCGTCCTTTGTATGTCGATGTCTGAATCTACAGTGTGTAGTCAGAAAGGGCCGAAAGTAAACGTAATCTGTGATTTTTTATCTGTATCATTTGTACTTTAGTAACGTCTGAATAACTCAGGAAGGTTCAAAATGTTATTTAATATTTGTTCCGTGAACTTGATAGGTGTTGATTCTTATAACTCAGTCTATTGCTTGGCTTATAACATCCTCTTTTACCGATCAATAATTCAAGCAATGTAATTATGTAGAGGCCAACAATTAACTGTAACCCAATTATCAGGTTGTGGAGATGTAACGATTAGACTCACTAGGCTCTTGTTTAGAAGGAATAGTTGTCATGGTTGGTTTGTTAGATATTTCTGAAAACAATCTGGCGACTCTTAGTGTAAATCTACTAACTCTTATTTTTCTCTTTGTCTTTAATAACTTGATACTACATAACTTATATTCACATTATTCCCTCAATCGGTTCTTACTCTTATTCTTGTGATTTTTCGAAAACTAGAACACCAAACCCATGCAAATTTCCTCCAGTTTGTAATTCGTTTCAGTCAGTTTCCCACTATACGCACTGGTTGGACTTAAAAATAGTTTTTTCTTGCTACTCAATATGTCATTTGTCTCACTTCTAAAAATACCTAACATTTCATCTCTTGTTAGTTCGATGTATTTTTGTTTGTCAAGTTTGGCCTTAAAATATATTAAAATTTCTCCATACACTTCCCTTATTTAAGTGACTGTGTTTTCCGGAGAAGTTTCACCGTTTATGGAATTTATCAAACGCCATCCACACATTTTCTACGATATGAGCATTTTTGGCTTGACAAGTGCTGTTGGCCAGGTTAGTTATATTTTTAATAACCAGTTAGGTATTAGAGTACATTTAGCAAGTGCTTCACGCTTCATACAAGTTTATTTTACTTGTTCAAAGTAAAATCATGATAATATTGCCTCCTCAAGATGCCTTAAGGCTTAAATAAGTCTTTTCAAAGTCTTCTTTGTGGGAGATGATCAGCTTAAAAGCACGTGGTTTAATAGTATTGAAATAAGATTGTTGAAATAAGTAAGACGACTTTAGCTCCTCAGGACCATTCAAGGAGTTGAAGAATGATGAAGTGAGAATTGAAAAACAACACGAACTATGAGAAAATGGAAAAAAATCTGACAATCAAGCAAGTTCGTTGATACTTGGCAGTCATTTGGTTAACTTTATCATAATGTTCGTGTTTATTTATCCTTCGCACATGTGCTTATATTTAACTTTCACTGTAAGAATGATACTGCCGAACCATTTTTAGGATAGTTACGACTGTGTATTGGTTAGATAAAACTATACTTTTGGTGTGTAATACTGCAACACTGATCTATGAGGATTAAAGCATAAAATTGTCCAACTCTTTGGATACATTTATTTTGATTAGTGGAAGCCCATAAAATAAGTAAAATCGGTATTGCCATCTATTTAGTCGAACTTAACATACTAACGTAACTGAGTTTGTGAGTTATTCCAACTATTATACCATAAAAGTCTGAGTCAAGATCGGCTGCAATAGCTCAACTGAATTCGACTTTTATTGTCCTACAATTTTTTTGCACGCTAGATTTTCGTTCCGTAAATTTAATTCTTTCCCACCACATATTCTCTATGCTAGCTAGCTTACCACTTCAATTAGCTTTATTATTTTGACTTTTGTTGATGTTAATCGTATTGATTTCTTCACAGTGTGCATATATAAATTAAAGTACATTTGTGCCATGTTTTACATTGTTTCTGACTATATCGTTAAAGTCTACCCAGTCAGGGTCCGCGCAATAACTATGATCATCAGCTGGAGACGTTTAGTGATATGGCTTAGAATCGACCACAATAACACCACAGACGTATTTACTCTTTGTTTTCTCTTAAATCTTGGTATTTAAGATTGTCTTACCATTTTTATCTCGTAGATTCATACTTTTTTCTTTGATAGCATTGTCGATGCATAATCTTTTATACTCTTACTTATGCTACTAATATTTCTATTACTTTGACATTCGCCTTGGTTATTTTATCTAGTTGTGCTGGTTTTATATTGTAGCTTGAACCGACACATGTATGTGCAAAGTTCCACATTGCTTCTAACTGACATGTTGTTATGGTATATTTATTGTCTTGATAGTCGTTGAGTGTCTTCTAGTTCACCTATTAAAGTTTTAGGGAGATGATATTGGATACACTGAATAAAACAAGGTTTTTGTTGTGTGTTAATCACGATTCGTTTATATTAGACAGGCAGATGCTATCTTGAATTGTGTTCTTAATTTATCAGCTGTTTTTGCCTTTTTGTCTTACCTTTTTCTCCCTCCATCTCATCAGATATTTCTATTTGGTTTGATCACAAACTTCAGCCCATTAACTTGTTCAATTGTGACTACAACAAGAAAATTTTTCACAGTTCTCTTCTCAATTATTGTCTTTGGTCATAGTATGACAACATGTCAGTGGATAGGGACGGTATTAATATTTTCTGGTTTATTACTTGATCAGATCTATGGTAAAACACGTTCTAAGCAGTCGTCCAACAACACAAATAATATCAATGGGGCAACGAATTCAGTTAAGAGTCATAGAGAATTAGGAAAGAAAAGTGAATAATATGTTGCTTATGCAAAAATATCAAAATGTAACAAATATATGAGTTTTCTTTTTATATTGAATCCAATTTAATTGTTATGTCTTTGTTATATACTTTCTAATTTTGAATTTCTAACTGAATCTATGATTCGTTTGTAATTCTATCTCTGGTCACTATTAGGAACGGGTTTAATTAGTGACCAATATGAGATTTAAAATTAATGATCACCAGGGAGAACTAAGAGGAGACATTCTTATTTGTTTTGAAGCACTTTCTTGAAATTAAATCATATACTTTAGCATATTTTGACACAGGTAGATTACACATTTTCATCATTCATCACTAGAAAGAGTCAATAGATATATGTTGCTTCTTTTGGAGCATATAATTGAACTTCACCCACGTTCTAATACGACTAGATGCTTGTCTACCCTAGCCAGACAATGAAACTTCCAAACATATCTTTGGAGAGCTCCTTCCTATGTAGCCCGGGATAATCTGGATCCTGCCATGAAACTGGCAGTGAGCTCTGCTAGCAATGTTTATCAATAAACAGTGGTTTTTAAAAGCCTCTAGCTAATTGATTGATACGTGAAAATTCATTACTAAAGGGTTCGAACAGAATAAAAAACGAAAGAGACGTAAATGAAAATTAATTATAAGGTAACGTATAGATCGTGTATAGTGGGAGGCGAAGAAAGTAAAAGAAATGGAATATGAAATGACGATGGCTAACACTAGTCAACTGTTGAGATTATTCGGAGATATCAGTTAGAAAGTCAGCCGGTGAAGATTCCTGAAGAAACAAAATTATAATCTAATCTTGGATCAGATGAATAGAACGGTTTGAGGGATAGTTTATGGAACTGTTAAAATGGCCTCTATTTGTTTACTACCCATCAAAAGCCTAATTGAAAGATTTACATTGGGTTTCTAAGCCCATGCAAAGTTGTAGAAGCCATAGCCAATCTGAGATGAGCAGACACCAGCTAGGTCCTTATGGTTTAGCCCTGGAAACATATAGGGTCCTTATACAGTCTTAATGGTCTGAATGTTAAAACAGCTGAAGTTTGGTATATAGGAATAATTCTATCAGATTAGTCTCGATCAGTGATTGACAAACTGGCTCTCGTATCTACATAGATGCTTCGAACAGTGGAAACTTAAATGGGACAATTTCATTGTCTGTGTACTGATTCAATAAATTACAGATGAGCACTCAAGCTATGTTTTGCTCTTCCTCCCCACCATTTTACGTTTTTTTTGTAAAGTATAGATGTTTTATGAATAATTCTTTATACAATTTAGTTATGTCTACTAGCTATTTTGGGTCAGTAGTATAAAACATGATTTAATAACTAGTGATGTATGCTACTGATGTCGACAGGTTTAATTAGATTGTATCATCAATCGAAAGTGAAATGCCTGGCGTCAGAAGGTTAAGAAGATCGAAGAAAAGTGAACGAGAATAGAGAATGATTGGTGTGGAAGCGAAAGAACAACGAAGTCTGTGACGATTAATGAGCATTTTGCAAATCAGGTATTTACTGTATGGTTCTCAGATTTTACTAAGACGTTCTGTAGTTTTTATCCAACATTGAAAGGTATTTACCGACCGTTTATATTTACCGATTTATCTTCTCTGTTTAAAAAATGAAGAATAACAAAGGTTACGGTGTTTAGTTTTCATTGTTGCAAAAGGAAATTTATTCTTAGAAAATATTATCTCGGTAAAACGTGGAGTATTTGGATATATATATATATATATATATATATATATATATATATATATATATATATATATATATATATATATATATATATATATATGGAAGTTCATGCATGTTTAAGAACGAAAGGGGTGGAGGTAATCAGTCAAATTTTCGCCATGCGTTTTTTAATTTCTAATTTATCATTCTAACATCGCAGTAAGTTTATCTCATACTAGCCGTACTGATAGTACTTTGTCTCTATCATTTTTTACTTTATGCAAGCTACTGAGTAGTGATATTTGGGAATTATTTAATCTGTTTATCGTTGTTTTTGAAATGAGGATAAAATATCACCAGTGATTTTCTTGACAACAGCCATAACTGGCCGATGTCATTTTGGAAGTTGGGTCTTGGGCAAAATTTAGAAAAAGAATCAGGTATTTGTATGCAAAATAGTACTATTCTTAAAAGAAGTATGTTGTCCACTGATCTCAATTCAAGAGGTGTCTGAGAAATAAAATTAAGATGAGAGGAGAGATATTTCCCGTAAAATTTATGTAAGAATAATTTATGAAAATTATACGGCGAACTAAATGACATAGTAATTATATCAATATCAGGCAACAAATTGAAACAAAACTATGTACACAATATACAAAGACTGTTATGTACAAGGAAACGTTCAGTGAGCCTAACCGTTAGGAATTTTAAGTTAATGTAATTAAATGAGTTAAGTGTCACAAACACATAAATACTGAGAACTATCAAACACACTGAGAAGACATATTAGTCATACTTTCAAAAATGACAGACAACAAAATAAGCTACTGAATATCAGTAAGTAACATAGTTGATATACAAAAAGGTGAAAAGCAGGAAAGCGCGAATCGGAATCGCTAGGTATGATTAACAATGTTTTGTGTTTTGATAAAGCGATACTTAGTAAAGTATCTAACTGTCCAATATCTCACACATACCGAGAGTAGCCTATTTGTAGTAGGACTGGGTTTATGGAAAGCACTACTAGTTTCTATAATTAGCAAACGTTTCCATAATAAATGGTTTTCTTCTACTTTACCCTAACATCAAGACAAAGTGTAAGCTATAATAAATATTCTATTGACACAGCTTCCTCTGATTGTTTCTTGCTTATTTATTCACTGTTTAGTTCACGTACGTTGGCTTCCTGTACTCAAATGTTTCCCAATACAATTTATCAGTTCCATCAATCATGATTTAAGAGTTAGAAACGTTGTTCTTCGTTTCTTATTATCTTGTAAATCTGATATAATGGTGAATAATGTTGGTCACCTTGTTAATATTCTTTATATATATATATATATATATATATATATATATATATATATATATATATATATATAAAGTTTTTTTATGCGGATTTGCAATTAATATGGAGGTGTGGAATACAACAAGAGACGAACATATTGTTGGTTGTGCTATGTTCTACAACCAACCAATACTGTACAAGGGCTTGAGTGACTCCTAAATGAAATGTGAGCTGTTGTCGACTGCTAAAGTCTCTGGAAGTCCGAAACAGCCGAAAAAATCAGATTGTTTCATCTGCTATGCAATTCGACATGGTATATATTTCTGAACATTTCGTGAATGCATCCAAAATGAACAAAACATTACTCCTTGTGCTGGGTCAGCAAAACCTTAATGGGTCTCCTTCTAGGAACTTTAAGACCTCGCTTATTGTCTTGGTTCACATTTATTTGCATTTTTGGCTTCTTGGTAGCACGATGAACAATTGTAGCATCTAATTTCTATATCTTGGTCCATTGTAGGCCAAAATGTATGGCTTCGATCCAACGATTACATATCTTTGATGCCGGGATGGCCGCTGTGGGATTGTTTTAAAACCTCTTGGCGTAATGTTTTTGGGACACCGATTCTGTCACCGAACATAATATATGAATCAACGATCCTAAGTGAGTCACACCGGCGAAAATATTACAGCAGTTCTACCTGAAAACGACTGTTTAGCCATTTGGTGAGAAAGTAACCTCTAAATTCTCTTAATATCTCGTCATCTCCCGTAGCTTCTTTGATAACTTTGAAGGTAACATTTCAGTACCTCGACGTGTAGCTTCCCCACTGAGCAAATGCTAAGAACTACTGCATGTCGACTGGATGATTGTGATGACAATTTCGTTTATACTAAAATCTTGAATATTTGGCTCTGGTTAGAATGAGATTCCTTTCAACTCGTTTTCTGTCTTCTAACTTGCGACTTGGAGGGTTCGAGTGTTCGAGTTATTCGCGATTTAGAAAAAAATCAAGATCTAGATGTAACACTACCCCCATGAGTTCAAGTTAGCGCTTGCCACCTGATGTAGTTTGATAATTTCCTTCATGTGTGTCCTATACAACTTCAACATCTTTTTCTATTTTTGTCTTCAGATGGAAGCTGGTTAGTTCTTTCACACAGTAGGCTGTTGCTGATGGTATCGGTCAAGGGACATTCAGTATCTTTTGTAGACAATTGTTTATAAATACTTGTACTTTTCTAGTGATGGTTGTGGTAGTTTTCCAAGTTTCACTTCTGTAAAGTAGAACTGTCTTGACGTTCAAATCAAAGATTATTTGATATTGGCTGAGAGTCGTTCTGAGTTCCATATGTAGGAAGTAAATTCCTACAGGTGAAATTCTAAACTATTCTCTAGACTGTCGAGCACATAGTCCTAGCTTAGCCAAAGTCAGAACAAGTATGCTATTTGACTTGATAAACTTTGTCTGTTTCTAAAACGTAAATTAATACTCTTAGTATACAAAACAAACAACACAGTTTATGAAACACGGAAAAGGAGAGACGTAGACAACATACCGAACAGTAACTAAAGGATAGGAAAAGTGAGTCAACAAAACGAATATTGTTTTATAATGAACATGAAATTGTGATTGGTGAATAAACAAGACATAATCATGCAAGATTAAAGAAAGTTAATGTGGTGGTTGGCGTTTCATGTTCTCATTAGTGAGTCCGTTTATCGACCCCACTTTACACTCCTCCCGAAACCCACACTACCTCTGCTGTCCTGGGTCGTCGTCAGATAACTGGATTCTTCCAGTAGGCATAAACTTCGTGCATCCTGAACGGTTTCTTCGTTTGCCGTTCTCAACTTCGCTGTTCGATCTTATCCGTCAGGACCATAGCTTACCTATTTTACAATGGCTTTAGGCAATAGACTTCTACATGCCTCAATGTTACTAACGAGAACTGGGTTGCCTAGTTGTAAATTCTTGCGTAAGTTCAACTCTAGTTAGGTTTCCATGAAACTCATTATTATGGACCGCGTGGTTGCTACTCTAAATTCTACCAATTGACAAACTGCAGATATCCCAGTATGACCCCAATACTGTTCCCTAATCTCCAATATATCAGAACACGAACCGTTAGATGAAAATTGTTTATGGGGTCAGGAGTATAATAATAATACTTTACAAACAAATGCATATTTATACAGTTAGGAGGACCGTGAATATTGACCAATAGGAAAATGACACGTGAAATAAATATTGAACAGTAGGAAAATGACACCATTTCACGTTCAAAAATAGCATTAGACTTAAGAGGATAACTTTTGGGATATTTTTTGAATATCCCAACACTCATGAACTTCGAAACGTAGTCCGTCTGTTCGGACGTTGCACTCTATTATCAGCCTTCGTTTACTCGTTTCATTGGACTCACGGAACTACAGTTCTGATAATATTCACCTTATCACACTAAAGCGTGGAGCTCATTTTCATCAAAGATACAAACTTAGAAAAAGCATATCTGCTTGTCAACCTATTCTGGATATTTCTCAGTATCATTTTACTCTCAAATTACTTACATGGCTTGAAAGTTGCTCACAAAATTAGATAATCTCAGAGCTTCTTGCTTTACGTGTGGGGACAACAAGCTGGCCTGGAAACATCAAATTCTTTCCTTAAACTATCTGGTCCGGTGTAGAATTAGAATAACCTCTGAAAGTTGAACGAATGTTGAGAATCACCAAATTCAGATATTCATTACACCTGGTTGAGTCAGGTTATGTTATAAGTGAGCTTTAACCTGTCGGTGAAGTTACTCCACCAGTCCCTTCGTCAGTGGACCGAATATCACTTTACTGATGTGATGGATAATCAGAAGTTCAGTGAATTCTTTCAACAAATTAGACTATCGGGGATTCATTGTTGGAAGTGTCATAGTAACATCGAATTCAGAGAACGATCTTTTACTGTGTACTTAATGCTGTTTTTGTGATGGAAAACACGGCCAAACTGAACTGAACTCGAGCTGAAAACATTCATTTAGGTAACACAAATCAACTAGATACAATAACGAAAACGTTACAGTGTTAGGTAATTAATGTTATGGACAGGATATGTTGTTGGCTATCTGGTATAAAGATCTAATACAAAGAAAATATGAGTGTTACGATTGGATGGGGTAAACAATTACCCTAAATCAATATTTAAATGTTGGGAACCACGTTTTTGACAGAGTGAACTTAAGTACTTTTATTAGTGTGCCTTTAAATGTTATATGTTTGAGATGTCAGAGAATTTTGAGTCCATCAATCTAAACTCGTATTTATCTTTGCCTAGACATGTGTTTAAGATATCAATTTCACAGTGACATGATATGTGGAGATGATCGAAGATCGTTTTTTGGCTAGTTGTAGGTATAAACAGTCGATCTATTCCTGCAACTACATCAAAAAGCAATTGCTAAATTTGTGAAAGGTAATCAAAAGCTAAACTCGATTTTTGTTGACAGGCTACGAGGTCAGAATTATTGGCTTGTACCTGTGTGATTTCTTGTAAATCAATTCTTTTAAATGAATTCAAAGCACTTTATAAAATGTTAATCAGCATTTATGTAAGATTTTTCTTTACAAAACTGTAAGTTCGTGAACTTGGATATTCAATCCGATTGTCGAGTTTCTGTAGAAGAACAGAAATTGAAATCGACGTTAAAACATGTGTCAGGAGCTTATGACTTGTAAAGATGAGGAAATTTCTGCTTTGAAGAAATTGAGACGGCTAAACAAACAATTAAGAGGTGTCTGTCTAATATACTAGATTTGGATTCAGAAGGATTTAATTTCTAGAAGAACTACGTCTTAAACTGGATTCGTATTGCACTACAAATGAATATATGACTATAAATATTATTATCGCGAGGGTTTTTGGAAACTTTTGAATTAAATAGTTTATATTATAGAAATCAAGTAGTACTGGATAGCTAGTTCGTCCTGGTATATGAATACTCGACAGTGCATATACACTTACTTACTTACGCCTGTTACTCCCAATGGAGCATGGGCCGCCGACCAGTATTCTCCAACCCACTCTGTCCTGGGACTTCTTATCTAGTTCCATCCAATTCTTGTTCATTTTTCTCATATCTATCTCCATTTCTCGGCGTAATGTGTTCTTTGGTCTTCCTCTCCTCCTTCGACCTTGAGGATTCCATATGAGGGCTTGTCTTGTGACGCAGTTCGGTGCTTTCCTCAATGTGTGTCCTATCCACTTCCAGCGCCTCTTCCTGATTTCTTCCTCCACTGGGATCTGATTTGTTCTCTCCCACAGTAGGTTGTTGCTAATAGTGTCCGGCCAGCGGATCTGAAGTATTTTGCATGGACAGCTATTAATAAACACCTGTATCTTCTGGATGATGGATTTCGTAGTTTTGCAGCTTTCCGCCCCATACAGTAGAACTATCTTCACATTTGTTTTGAAAATTCTGACCTTGGTGTTGGTTGCCAATTGTTTTGAGTTCCAGATGTTCTTCAGTTGTAAATATACTGCTCTTGCTTTGCCGATTCGCGCCTTCACATCTGCATCAGATCCACCGTGTTCATCGATGATACTGCCCAAATATGTAAAGGTTTTTACATCTTCCAAATCCTCTCCGTCAATTGTGATGTGATTGGTGCATGCTGTGTTGTATCGGAGAATCTTGCTTTTCCCTTTGTGTTTACTAAGACCTATTGCTGCTGAGGCTGCTGCTACACTGGTCGTCTTCTCCTGCATTTGTTGTTGCGTATGCGATAGAAGAGCCAGATCATCTGCGAAGTCTAGATCATCCAATTGCATCCTATCTGTCCACTGTATCCCATGCTTCTCCTCAGATGTTGACGTCTTCATGATCCAGTCGATCACCAGGAGAAAGAGAAAGGGTGAGAGTAAGCAACCTTGCCTGGAAGCACTGATATTTTCGTCAATAATCTGTGGTTTATTGTCATCCACTATATGATTTTCCCAGATCCTCTGGATGTAACTTTTCATAATTTTATTAAGTCAATTAAAATGAACAGTTAGAACGTGAAATGATGTTAAAATTAAATTTAGCATTTTAAAGGAATGTAGATTGTCATATAGGATGCTTATAGTTTGCAAAAATTTCAGTTGTACACAAATAATTAGGTGTTATAATATTTATTTATGGCTTTATTCAATATTATATTTTGGTACAATATAGAATTCTCAGCACAAAAATATTTCAACAAGTTTCTTTTACAGAACAAAAGAAAAAAAAACGGTTAAAAAAAAATCTGAAAAAAATTTCAATTAGAGTCATGTTAAGAATGCAGATTATTGACTAGGTTAACTCTAACAACCTGTTTGCTAGGTAAGGTATTATAGAACGTTTATACTTTTGCTTGCGTGCTTGGATTTTAATGTAATTTCGTCTCGTTCTACCAGAAGATATACAAGGAGAAAGATATGAGTGAAGGGGATGGTTAGTATCTGATAAGATAACATCTGCCAGGAGTTTGCATGACTTTAGATGTCTATCCACAATCATATTAATTATGGTCTCGAAAGATTCACCACATAACTTGCTAACTGCCTTCAGCGCTCTCCGCAGTACAGCAAAGTCTTTTCTCAAAAGCCCGGGAAAGGATAACGGAGAACAGTAAATAATAATAGGTAATATGCAAGAATCGACAAATTGTAAGAGTAAATGACGAGTGATCCCAAAAGCATGCAACCTCTTAATGTAGTAAGTCAGACGGAAAACTTTCTTCGATAACAATAAAACGTGAGAATTCCAAGAGAGATCAGAGGAAAAGGTAACACCAAGATAATTAACCGTCGACACTGTGTTTATCAGAGTCGCCAATGGCACAAGCATTATGAGATCTAAAAAAGGTGTTTAAATGCCGATCATGTCTCATGCTAAAGTTAACAGCTTGACATTTAGACGGACTAAGTAGGAGACCATTAACGACAGACCAACTAT